AGACCCCAGGGCCAAATCTATGTTGAACCCTGCGAGGGTATTGACATTGAGCCTGGACCCCTTATCCTTTTGTTGGTGAACGTTTACGGTCTTGACGACGCTCCTGTGGCCTGGCGTCGGACTGTGGTTGGCCACCTAGAGAAGCGTGGATTCGAAAGGAGTTTGTTGGAACCTTGCTGGTGGCTGAAGTATCGAGCAGATGGGGCTATCCAGAATATGATGTTGCTGGAAGTCGATGATTTCTTCATCGGCAGTGCGGACGCGGATGCCCGAGCGTGGATTCGCCATATCCTGGAAGACCGTTTCCGTTTCGAGAAGTATCGAGATTGTCACGCCGGCCCCGTAGATTTCGCCGGCAGACGTGTTTCCTTCTTCCCCGGCAAGGCCGTTATTGACAAAGAAAAGTACATCCTGGAAGAAATCCGCCCTCTGACCCTGGCCCGGGGCCGTTTGTCAGTTAAGAGTTCTCCTCTCGAGCCGTCCGAGTTCAAAGCTTTGCGTTCCCTGGTCTATAAATTCAATTTGGTCGGCCGAGAGTCACGGCCAGAAGCGGCGGGAGTGGCGAGCAGTCTGGCCAGTCGGTTGAGAGCTCCTACGGTGTCGGATGCGTCGTGTGCCAACAAGTGAGTGAAGCATCTGCGGGCAACAGCCTCTCGAGGATTGACGGTTTGGCAACTAGACCCCGAGCGTATGTCTTTCCTCTCCTTTTCTGACGCGGGTGGTGTTGGATCTGTAGAGCCCCTCCAGGACGACAACGGTCTCCCAGCTGACCCCACCCAAGGAGCTTGGATGGTGTTAGCCGCAGATAAGATTGTTATTGACAACCAGGTGGTGAGAGCGTCCGTGCTTGGTTGGCGTAGCAGTAAGCTACGGCGTAAGGTGCCCTCGACGTTGGCCGGAGAGACTCAGGCTCTCTCGGCTGCGGTGGCGGAAGTCGAGTATTTTCAAGTGTTGTATCGAGCTGTCGTGTTCAGGGATGTCGATATGCCTGATTGCGCGCGGGCCTCAGGGCCTTTTCACTGCGGCTTTAAGACGCGATTGTAGTTAGGGCCCCAGGGAACAACAGGTCCATGTGGTAGACGCCAAATCTATATATGATACCTTCCAGAAGGAAGGGAATGCGTCGGCCCGTGATAGACGCACCGCTCTAGATCTCGCCATTATCTGTGAGCCCCTGGAGCGAGCCAGGGGCCGAATACGGTGGATACCCCATGGCCGCATGCCCGTGGATGCCATGGCCAAGGTCGACGTGACTAAGTGCAATGCGGCGTTGTTTGATCTCATGGTCAACGGCAAGCTCAGTCTGGTGGATGAAGCTCAAGAAGTCGGTCGTCGGAGGGACGCACCCGAGCTCAAGGATCGTTCCCAGTCGGCCTCCCGAAGAATGCTGTCGGAGCCCGCCTGGATCACCTGGCTGGACTACCTGGACCAGAGGGCTCCTCCTGGCCTGGTTGGTGGTGGTGGTGTCCTCCCGTCCTCCTCCTCTCTCCCTCCGCGTTCGTTATCCTCCGAATCCGCTTTCCAATGGTCTGCTCTCTAGTTCTGCTTCTCTTTTATATTTCCCTCTGCTGCTGCGTGTGTTTAGTATTTGCAGGTCGCTTTTGACGCTGCCAGGCAGTGGACACGGACTTGTGAAGTGAATTTTGGGACAGCTAAACCTAGAGAAAGTTGGACCCATGTTCCAGGGGTCCGTTATCTCACGTATAGGTTTAGCTTTTGGTGTTTCACCCAGCGGACTGATGGATAGAGATCCATCTTGTGTACGTCCGTGCCACATGTGGCTCAAGGCAAAACATGATGTCCCCTCTCCTGCTGCAACAGACTGTAATTGTGGAAGCTGGCAGCTGCAACTGGTACAGAAAACTGCGAAGCTTCGGCCTACAGCCTGGTGGCCCCAACAGGGGGCCGGCGGATTATACGCGTGATGGTGGTAAAAGATGACGATGGTCATGATGATGGTGATGATAACGATGATGATGGCGATGCTGACGGTGGTAATGGTGCTGGTGATGATGGTGATGATCATGCGGCTGATGATAATGATGCTCACGACGTCAATGATAAGTATATTGGGAATGCTAGTTATGATGGTGATGTTGATGAAGGCGAAGCTGCTGATGATGATGCTGATGATAATGATAATGGTGCTGATGATGACGAGGACAGGAAAGGACCATATGAGGAGCTATCTGAAGACATATTGGCGCCACCTTGGCCCAACCGCCACCCAAGGTTGAACCCCCACCCGAGATGCCAGAATTGTTCAAACACATGTTATTTCCCAACCGTGCTGTGCTCTTGGGTCTTCTTCTTGAATCAGCAGCGCCCCATGTTCACTCCCGCTCCTCTCCTCCCCCCCTCCTCCCTCCTCTCCTGACCTCTGCCCTCCGCATGCCACTCGGCACACCCCTCACACGTTTCGTGGTCCCATCGGGAAACTCCACCGACGGTCCCAGTGGATGCTTTCGCGTGACACCACCGCACCCATGTCAGCACACCCCTCCCTCTTTTCGTGGCCCTATAGGGAGGTCCACCGAAGGCCCCACTGGCTGCCCTTGCGTGCCACCACCGCGCCCATGTCGGCACACCCCGCCCACATTTCGTGGCCCCATCGGGAAGTTCCACCGACGGCCCCAGTGGCTGCCCTCGCGTCCCACGCTTCGTGGCCCCATGGGGAGATCCGACGGCCCTGGTGGCTGCCCCCGCATGGCACCGCCGCAATCAATACAGCACACCCCTCGCACGTTTCGTGGCCCCCCCTGGGGAAATTCCACCGACGGCCCCAGTGGCTGCGCTCGCATGCCACCACCGCCTTCAATTCGACACACGCCTCAGATGTTTCGTGGCCCTACAAGGAGCTACGCCGAAGGTCCCAGAGGCTGCGCTCGCGTGCCACCACCGCGCCCACGTCGGCACAACCCTCTAACGCTTCCTGGCACCCCTCGGGAAGTTTCACCGACGGCCCCACTGGCTGCGCTCGCATGGCACCACCGCCTCACCTGTCCCGTGGTCCCACAAGAAGCTCCACCGAAGGCCCCACTGGCTGCGCTCGCATGCACCACCGCGCCCTTGTCGGCACACCCCTCCCACGTTTCGTTGCCCCATAGGGAGCTCCGCCGAAGGCACCAGGAGCTGCGCTCGCATGCCATCCACTACCGCACCCAATTCGACACACCCCTCCTACGCTTCGTGGCCCCATCGGGAAATTCTTCCGACGGCCCCAGTGACTGCGCTCGCGTGCCACAGCCGCATCCAGGCCGGCACACCCCTCACATGTTAGGTGGCCCCATCAGGAGCTACACCGAAGACGGTACCCACGATTGCGTTACCTACAATTGCATATGGCTGGGCCCGTCGCCTGGGTAGTTCAGTGATGTTTGTTTTGAGCGAAGGCGGTTGCGCGGATTAGTGTTGCCCCCCCCCCCCCCCCACGATTGAGCCAGATAAATCTGTCAGCCGAGCTCTCCTAGCACGCTCTTGGGGCCCCTCTTTTGGCCCCTCTTGGGGCCATCTCGATGCCAAGAAGCTCATTGGGAATGATGGGGCGATGCGACAATCTGCATTGTTTTCTTTGGGCGTTGGAGGCAGATTAGCCTCTGGGGGGCACCCTTGGCCACTTGGAGCCGTCGTGGGGCAGTCTTGGGGCCTTTCGGAGGCACGCTTAGACAATCTTGGCGCAATCTTGTGCCATCTTGGAGGTTATCCCGGGCTTCCCTCAGCCATATTTTGGGCCATCTTGGGCTCTCCTGGGCGCTCCAACTGCCCTCGCCCCCCTCGTCCAGACCCGGGGAGGGGGCAGGTGGAGGGGCCAAGTCTTGAACGGGAGCGCCACAAGCTGTTTCGCCCACTGTCGGCCGCCCTCCTCCCACGTAGACGGTGTCCGAAGCTCCGCGCATGCAGAGGTCGCCATCGGAATGGCACCACATTTGAGACTATTGCTTACGTGATTGGCGCGACGCTCGAGAGATGCGCCACGCGCACCAGGCGCGCCCGGTGCCCCACGTACCCAGGTGTGCCAGGCGCACCTAGTGCACCAAATGCGCCAACAGTGCCACATGCTCCAGCCGCGCCAGGTGCGCCACGTGCGCGACTCGTGCAGAGTGCGCCATGTGCGCCAAGGCACGCGACCGCACGCAGCGGGTAATCTGTCGCTATCTTCACATGTCTTGTCCAACGCCGATGTAGAGTGGTGGCGGGGTGGTTGGCATGGTGTATGGTGGTGCTTGCATTCATGATCGATTTCTACTTGGTTGTGACAGGGATCGTAGGCGAGCGCGCAGAGGATCAGTCTGATCGCAACTCCGGCCTCCCTGTCAAAAGCCGATGTGGAGAGTTAGTGGGGCGCCCGCTCGCGATCCAGATTTTGCCGCCGCGTGCATTCTGCATTCCTTTTGGGGAGGATGGTGGGGGTTGGGGTGGCTGCCGCCAGCCGCAGGTGAGTAGTTCATTCTACATGGCACCTGCTACAGGCAAAACTCAGAGTAAGAACGCACGGATGCCCTTAGGGTACCCTTGCGTCCTTGCTTCTGCAGCCCGTCCTTCGCGGCTTCCACTGGCCAGCCCTTCAGGGCGTTGGCAGTCCGCCGCCCAAAAAGTAGCATTTTCGGCGTCCAAGGCCCTTGCGTCCTTGCCGCCCGTCCTTACTATAGATTTCGACTGTAGACCTCGTGCTGCTTTCGCTCCTCCTGCTCCCCCCCCGTCCTCTGTTCCATGCGTGCCCAGTCACCCGCCTGCCCGCTTTTTGCTTGCCTGCCCGACCTTTTGCCTGCTAGATCGCGTGCCTACCAGCCTGCCTGCCTGCATCCGTCGTCGTTCTAGTGCTCGTCATCGCCGTCACCGTCGCCGTCACCGTCGCCGTCGTCGTCGCCGTCGCCGTCGCTGTCGCCGTTGCCGTCGTCGTCGTCGTCGTCGTCGTCGTCGTCGTCGTCGTCGTCGTCATCTTCGTGGTTGCATTCGTCGTCGTCTTCATCGTCTTCGTCGTTGTGGCGTCCCACCCTCAGGAGGCGGGTGGGCGCTCGCCAGTGGCTCGCCGGGCGGCCTGCATGTGCTGCGGGTTCCTGGCAGACTCATGCCCAGCACTCAGAGCCTTCCGCCACAGGAAGAAGAAGAAGCAGAAGAAGAGGGATGCTAATGAAAATGCACATGCTATGATGGCTGCGGCTAATTGGGGTAACGGGGGGAGGGGTCAGGAGGGTTCGAGGTTCGAGGTACGAGGTTTTCGGACGTTTTCGTCGGTTCTCTGTGGTTTTCCCCAGCCTCGAGGTGCTCTCCAGGGGCTGCGCCTCGCTGAGAGCGTTCCCGTCGAAGGGCCGCCAGAGGCCCGAGGTTTTTTCAAATTGAAACCACTAGGCGTCGAACAGGTCACGTTCGCGAGGGGAGGGGCATTTCCTGGAAGTCTTTGCGGGCCGCCATCGCAAGGTATCCTCCCGCAGGCCTTCGCGTCATCATCTAGGGTTATTGTTTAATGACAGTGGCAATGGCTACGAGAGCTATTGCGGGCTGGCCGTTCGCCTCAAGATGCATGGACATATCTTATAGTTGGAAGCGGCCCAGCAAGGATCGTCGTGACCAGTCTGTGTGTGTTTGTGCGTCTGTGTATGTTCGTACGTGCATAGACATGCGCAAGTATTGAACAACGGAAGCATGTTTGCCAGCGTGGGCTCCAAATTGATATTTCCTGCACTCTGGATGTGTAAGCAATGTGGTGCTGGCTGCGTGGTGCAAGCTATTTGGTGTAAGCTGTGAGGTGCAAGCCATGTGCTGCAAGCTTTGTGGTGTAAGCTCTGTGGTGTAACCCATGTGGTGTAAGCAGTGAGGGGAGAGCGGTTTTGTGTAAGCTATGCGTGCTATGTGGCCGCAGTGTATGATCTGTGGTGCGCGCTATGCGGTGCAAGCGATGGGGTGCAGGCTGTGTGGTGGAACCTTTGTGGACCAAGCTGCGTGTGGTGGAAGTTCTGTGTACAAGCTATGTCCTGCATTCGATGTTGAGCAAGCTGCGTGGCGTGCCCGACGCGGGGCACTCGGTGTGGTGCACTCTGCGTGGTGCAGCCCGGACGCTCCAGCCAGCGCGGAGGGGGGGCGGGGACGAGGCGCCCACGGCCAGGCTCCGGCCACACATCCTGGAAGTCCCGGTCGGCCCACGGGGGGCCCACGAGGCACCCACGGCCGGGCACACGGCCCAAAACTTGGACAGCCTGTCCACTTCCTGCAGAAGCGCGTGGGAGTCCCCGAGTGCTCCTCAGGCCCACGACGGCCAAAGACATGCGCAAACACCTCAGATCATCCAACGATCATTCTTATGCGAGTCCAGAGGCTAGCGTTGGAAGCCCAAGGCTAAATCCTTCTCGGGTGAAGCATACTGGAGATCATGCCTCTACTGCCAACCTCAGTCTCTCTCTCTCCCTCCTCCCCCTCCTCCTCCTCCTCCTCCTCCTCCTCCTCCTCCTCCTCCTCCTCCTCCTCCTCCTCTTGCCTCCTCCTCCTCCTCCTCCTCCTCCTCCTCCCTCCTCCTCCGCCTACTCCTCCTCCGCCTCCTCCTCCTCGCTACATTGCGTGCTTGCTCGGTGCCACTCTCATTGCCTGCGCGGCCAAGGACACTGCTTGTGCACGGCAGGGAAGCGTGGCGTGCACTAAAGCAGAAGAGAGGTAGAGTGGAAGGGCGCCCTGGAGGCGCGAACCCAGTGTAATTTGCAAGGGATCGTGGCCCTGGGAGCGCGGACACTGCTGATTCACAAGGGAGCGCGGCTTTGAGAGCGCGGACGCAGCGTAGTTCACGAGGGATCGTGTCGGGCGAGCGGACGCAGCGTAATTTACGCGGGATTATGACCCTGGGTCAGGCACGTCCCGCGGCACTCTCTCTGACGCGTTCCCTGGCACGTCCCCTGGCGCGTCTGCTGGCATGTTCCCTGGCACGTTCCGTGGCGCGTCCCGTGGCGAGTCCCCCTGGCACGTCGCGCGGCGCGTCCCCTGGCACGTCCCGTGGCACGTCCACTGGTACGTTCCGTAGTGCGTCCCTTTGGCACGTTCCGCGCTGCGTCCCCATGGCACGCCCTCTGGCACCTTCCCTGGCGCGCTCTTTGGGACGTTCCGCGGCGCGTCCCCTGGCATGTCCCCTGGCATCGCCCAGTTGCATGTGCAATTGAGGTCCTTAGAAACGGTTCCATGCCTCGTAGCTCTCAATCCTTTTCCGGATTCGTGGGTCGATCATGTCTTCCACGACGGCCGAACACTGCCAGTAACTTCCCGTTTCGTGATTTGTGCATGACGCGGGCACTTTGGGGGAGGGTAGAGCGGGCGGGCCTGGAGCTGGGGGCGGCGGTCAGGGGCAACGATGATCAGGGGGAGAGATGGGTGCGGGGAGGAAGGCATCGACCCCCTGTCGCCCACAGGTCGCCGATACGGTCGGAGCGAGGCATGAGATCGAGGTCGGTTCGGGGAGGGTGCCCTAATGTTATGCGGATTCGCTGGAAGCTCTTGTGCGCCCTTGGGTAGGGTACCTGTGGACGTTCTGTGTGCTTGGCCGGCGGAGGGTCTCCAATTCTTGAGGGATGTGCAGGAGGAGGAGGAGGAGGAGGAGGAGGAGGAGGAGGAAGGATGGGGGAGGAGGAGGAGGAGGAGGAGGAGGAGGAGGAGGAGGAGAAGGAGGAGGAAGGACGGGGGAGGAGGAGGAGGAGGAGGAGGAGGAGGAGGAGGAGGAGGTTGCAGGGGCCGGAAAGCCTCACTCCGCCCAGGAGCGCGCCCATTCGCTACAGGGGGCCCATCGCCGCTCCATCGGCGGTGCATCGCCGATTCCAGCTTGATGTAAAGCACCTATTCGCACGCTGGTGGAAGTGCGGATCTGTTTTCTTCTGTGCCGGAAGCACGAGATACCACGTCTTTCGGGGACCTGTTGACCCTGGCCAGTCGTCCAGACCCCGGTCAGTCAGGCCCTACAGGATCCTGCAAGATGCTGCAGGATCCTGCAACAAGATCCTGCAGGATCCTGCGCCCAGACCCAGGTCAGTGCGACCTTGGCCCTGCAGGATCCTGCAAGATCCGACGCTCGTACTGACCCCCGTTTGCATTGACCTCCGTCTCTTGAGCCCCGAGTATTCCTTACGCGTGCCCCCACCTCTCGTCCTCTTCCTCTCCTAGTCGTCCTTCCTCTCAAGCTCTCTCTTTCCTCTCCTCTCTTCTCCTTCCTCTCCTCGTCATCCTTCCGCTCCTGCTTCCTCTTCCTCTCCTCTCTCTCTTCTGTTCCTCTTCCTCGTCAAGTGCTCCCTCTCTTCCTCTCCTTGTCATCCTTCCGCTCACGCTGCGGGATGTGTGCGCCTCCCTCAAAACTCCCCTCGAAAGCCCCGCCCCCGCTTCGACCCTCCCGCGAGCACCTACAGGCAAGGGCGTGGACGAGCCCGCCCGCCCGCCCGCCCGGCCAGCCCCTGCCTCCCTCCTGCACGTTCGTCGTCGTCGTCGTCGTCGTCGTCGTCGTCGTCGTCGTCGTCGTCGTCGTCCTCCCTCCGCTGGGCAGCACAGCCTGCTCGGGACCAGCGTGGCGGCGCGTATCAGACCGCGTCTGTGGTGCAGACCAGACGCCCCTGATTCGGAGACGACCCAGACGACCCCAGGAGCACGCTGGACGAGCCCCACAGCCCCGGGGCGGCGGAGAGGCCGCCCCGACGCGGCCCCCCTGCCCCCCGAGAGGCCGGCCGCGCCGGCGGAGGGCCCGGCGCACCACGCGGCGGCGGCGCAGCACCAGGAGGCCTCGTTTCGGCGGCGAGCCCCCGGGGGGAATTCAGACCCCCCGCCAGTCGTGAACAAAAAATCGGGAGGGAAGATGTTTCGTTGTTTATTGGCCTCGGGGGCCCTCACCGGGCCCTGGGGCCGTGCAAAAACGGCTCGGGATGGAGAGCTGGTCTCGGGGAAGGGGTCGAGAACTCTGGATGTCGACGTTCTGGAAAATCATGACCAGGAAAAAACAGGCTTGGCAGCGTGTCGCACGCATCATGCTGACGGCACGGCCAGGACATGCAGGGCACTGTGCCTAAGACGAGTAGAGCAGCCCTGGTGGGCACAGAGTACAACGTAGCCGACAGCTGGGAGAAGAGGGGCACACCAACCTATATATATATACATATATATATATATATATGTATATATGTATATATACATATGTCTGTATGGACCATATACGCATGTGAATGTATTATATATGTATACACACATATATATACACTCAGATATACACATGTATGTAGATACAACCATACATTATTTTTCCGGTGATAAAATGGATGAATGGCCGCTAGTGTATCGCCCGAGCGTCCGTTAACGTTTTGGCTCAAGCTTGTCTAGCGGAGCCAGGCATCCGTGCGCGCTGGTGCATGTAACAAATTGTCCTCGAGGTGTTCAGGGCGGGTTTCTCCGCTCTTGCGTCCGACGCCTTCTCCAACGCTGCCAACTTTACGAGCTGTTGCGCGCTCGAGGGACACAATCGGTTCCAGCCGTATGAAGTGGGGCATCTTTGTCGCTGCTACTGTAGTCGGTTTGCTCTTTGGTGTCTGTCTGACTCATTGTTGTTGTGGTTGTTTCGTCGGTGTGTGGCGCTATATTTCGCATTTCGTACAAGACAAAAGGTGGATCGTTTCTGAGACGGAGAATGGCACGCCCGACTGCTGATAATGCAGACGACCACCCAGATGATGGGGCAGCGGATCGGGGAGCAGGCGATGGAGGCTGAACTCCCCATGTGGTGGGCAGCCACCCACGACGGAGGCGCGTACCGTGAACAGGTGGGGGAGGGCGCGGGCATCGACACACGAGGGTCTTCTCGGCCGTCGGTATCCTCTGCGTTCGTGCCGCTCCAATTGGCTTCCCAGGGAACCACCCCATGATCGACGTCGCCCCGAGCGTGAGCCTGGCCGAGGTCTACGTGGCGGCGTTGGCGGTGGTGGAGTGCCTGGAGGGCCCAGCAGCGACAGCGGCCCTCGTGCCCGCCCTCCCGGGACCGGCCGCCGCGGCCGCGGCGCCGCCGGTTGCAGCAGGGCTGCTGGCCGCGCCCGCCGGTTGCCCAGCGATGGCGCCAGAACCACAAGATGACTTCAGCATGCTCCCGGTGAAGTGGCTGGGGGACAAGCGCTACCGCACATTCGCCGAGGCGGTGGGAAGCATGGATCACGTGGACTTCAACGACGGCGAGTTGGAGGGCGACCCGAGTCTCGAGTGGTACCTCCAGAAGATCGCGCAGACGGGGATGGGCCCGGTGGCTCGTTCGCGAGCTTGGGCCGCCGAGAGCAACATTCCAGCGGGCGACCGCTCTGTGCACGAGCACCACGTGATCATGAAGGCGATCCAGGCTGCCGCCGAACGTGACCAGCTGAATCTGATGGACCTGGAAGGTTTCGAGGTGCTGGCGCGCCGGGCCCAGGTCATCGAGGCCGCCTATGCACACAACCCCGGCAAAGCGAACTATGCCCACGCCGACGACATGAGGGCTGACGCATCACCGAGGGCGGTGCTCTTGTGGCCCCGGCTATCACGCGGCACGTCGCCGCCAGGGCTTCGCAGCGGTCCTCGACTCTGAAGGGGCAGCGCGAATATGCAGAGAAGATGCGGTTGTCCGGTGGGCACACGGAGCCGAAGGGGGACGGCGCGGGCCATGGCGGAGGCCCCCCGAAGAGGGAATCGGCCTCCCCGCAGGACTCTTCGCAGGGGGTGAGACAGTGACTGGTAGAGCGGGACCAATGCTTTGAACGTGTGAATGAGATGGTGGATGCGCTCAACTTCTTTTTGGCCACCCTGGGCCGCGCCAGCGTCCAGCCTCTTCTGCCCAGTTAGAGGCTTTGAATTCACTCGAGACTGCAGCCAACAAGGCGTTCAAGTTTGTTTTTTTGTCGGCGGACTTCCGAGGAACCCCTCGCGGCGCTTCTCGGTGCAGGCTTATGAAGACGGACCCGTTGCTAGCTTCGTTCTCGATGACTTGGAGCCGATATTGGTGCCCCGCGCCGGAGCAAAACCCATGGATCTCCGCTTGCAGGGTCAATGCCAGCGAATTTCTAGTTGACCTTCAGGACCGCATTTTATTTGACCAGGAGGAATGGGGGGGTCGCGTGCGAGACACAGGCTCCCCAGAAGGTTTCTGCTGATTCCAGGCTCTGGGTCGGGCCCAAACACTGTTATGGCTTGATGCCCCAAATGCACGATGCTGGGTTGTTGGCCTATGCGGTCAAGCCCGCCTGCAAGGTGGGTGTTTTCGTTGTGCGTAAGTAGACGGGTTGGCAACGGTTGGCAGTTCCGCCCGCCCCCCTTCATCTCCAGACGGGCACTGGTGCCGCGGGGGCGGACGACGCCCTCGGCGAAGGGAAGCAGGCGTGGCTCCCGCGCCCAGACATCCAGTGTTATTTCTATCGTTGTGGGCCCCCCCCGGGGCTCAGCAGACGCTACACCTTTGCTGCTGTACATGCCATGTTTTTGTATTATTATTATTATTATTTTTTATATAAAAAACAAATTACGCTACCGAGGAACCCCACATACTTATTTCATGCCACGTGTGTTCACAAACCATGTCACATCTCGCTTCGCCATCTTGACGAGAGACTGACCAGACCAGCCAGATCAGCCAGACCAGCCAGACTGACCAGACCAGCCAGATCATTCGTTCCAGCCATAACCAGCCAAAGTAATCAGACCAGCCAGCCAGGCCAGTCAAGCAGACCAGCCCTCCAACAACCGCAGCCAGAGTCAGCCGGACTAACCGCGCGAGCCAACCAGGCCAACCAACCTGGACCATCCGTTTCAAGAGAATGGCGCACGGAGGTGGCAATTCGGCCACTGCGCATTTTGGGGGCATGCCTGTGGGCGCCCGCTGTCTTTGAGCCTGCTTGAGCCGAGGTGTCTACAGTTAACCTTGCTGAGAATACTTCTGCCGCATACACGCCTGGGGCACGGGCGCATGCTGCCCAATAAATAAATTCCAGAACATGTCAAGGCTGCTACGCTACCTACGTACCCTCTCTGCTGTCAAGCCCCCTGTGGCGTCGAGGAAATGCCGCGCCCGCCACGCCCTGGGAGCCTGCAACGCACAGGGCCCCCACCCCCAGCGCACCCCCTGCGGCGTCGAGGAAATGCCACGCCTGCCGCGCCCTCGGAGCCTGCAGCGCACCCCTCCGGTGTCAAGAAATGCCGCGCCTGCTAGGCCCTGCGACATTGGCGCGCATAGAGACCGCGGTGGGCCCCCACCCCCAGCGCACCCCCTGCGGCATCGAGGAAACGCCACTCCTGCTAGGCCCACCCACCCCCAGCGCACCCCCTGTGGGGTTCAGGAAATGCTACGCCTGCTCGGCCCTGCGACATTGGCGCGTATAGAGACCGCGGTGGGCCCCCACCCCCAGCGCACCCCCTGTGGCGCCGAGGAAATGCCACGCCTGCTAGGCCCTGCGACATTGGCGCGTATAGAGACCGCCGTGGGCCCCCACCCCCAGCGCTCCCCCTGTGGCGTCGAGGAAGTGCCACTCCTGCTAGGCTGCTAGGCCCTGCGACATTGGCGCGTATAGAGACCGCGGTGGGCCGCCACCCCCAGCGCACCCCCTGTGGCGTCGAGGAAACGCCACTCCTGCTGGGCCTTGCGACATTGGCGCGTATAGAGACCGCGGTGGGCCTGTGGTGTCGAGGAAACGCCACTCCTGCTAGGCCCTGCGACATTGGCGCGTATGGAGACCGCGGTGGGCCCCACCCCCAGCGTTTTCCCTGCGGCGTCGAAGAAATGCCACGCCTGCTCGGCCCTGCGACATTGGCGCGTATAGAGACCGCGGTGGGCCCCCACCCCCAGCGCACCCCCTGTGGCGTCGAGGAAATGCCACGCCTGCTAGGCCCTGCGACATTGGCGCGTATAGAGACCGCGGTGGGCCCCCACCGCCAGCGCACCCCCTGTGGCGTCGAGGAAATGCCACTCCTGCTAGGCCCTCGTATAGAGACCGCGGTGGGCCCCCACCCCCAGCGCACCTCCTTGTGGCGTCGAGGAAATGCAGCGCCTGCCATGCTTTGCGAGACTGAAACGCATAGGGCCCCCACCCACAGCGCACCCCCTGTGGCGTCGAGGAAATGCCACGCCTGCCGCGCTTTGCGAGACCGAAACGCATAGGGCCCCCACCCCCAGCGCACCCCCTGTGGCGTCGAGGAAATGCCGCGCCTGCCGAGCTCAGAGACCACCCCCCTGCACACACGCTCTGGTGCGAGAAGGAGAAGGGGAGGGGGGGTGAGACGCGGGTGCGGCGCGGCAGGGAAAAAACCATAACCCCACGAAACATGTGGGGAGATAAAGACACTCGGCCCCCCCCGTCTTCCTGGGCCCCGGGTGTCCCCTGGGGCCGCGGTGCCAGGCCATCGGGGCCCTGCCCGCGGGGTTTATCTGGAGTGTCTATTTGTTCAGCGTGTTTGATCAACAGAGGTCGGCCGCGCGCTTGACTTGCGATCGGGGTGCATCATGCTCGATCGTGCTCCTGCCCCCCCCGTTTGCGGCTCTCGTGTTCTTGCGTACAATCTCGCCATTGCCGCGACCTGTCCTAAGCGAGCGAATGATGCGCGAGAGAAGGCTGTCATGCGCTGTTGGGATTCAGGTTTCGTTGTGCACGAAGAAGCGGAGGCGCCGTTGTTGTCGTGGGTGCGGCTTCCTGCGCGACGACCCCCGAGAGGCAATTGAGTCTCCGCGCGACCCTCCTCGCAAGCGCCCGTCGCCCAGTCGCGCGTAGGAGACAGCTCGAG